AAGATTTACGTGGTTCGGCAATGTGTGAGCCATACCAACAAATCTCCACCTTGGCGAATATATCACCTCCTTAGGAGAACACAATAGCGAGCATCTCTGCGAGACACACCAAGCAGGTCGGGGGTACCATGCAACTCTAGCATGCAGAAACATTCAACAAATCCAAGCAATGCTTGAATTTGTCAGAAGTAACAGTCTTAGTAAACATATCAGCAACATTCTCTTCAGTATGAACTTTCTCCAACTGAATATCACCAGATGCAATCCATTCCCTAATCTTGTGGAACCTCACATCAATATGCTTCGTCCTAGCATGATATATCTGATTCTTAGCCAAATGAATGGCACTCTGACTGTCACAATGTACTAGAACTCCACCTTGCTGAATACCCAACTCTCTAACCAATCCAGCAAGCCACACTGCTTCCTTTGCCGCTTCAGCCAAAGCAATATACTCAGCTTCAGTTGTAGATAGCGCAACTATAGGCTGAGTATTCGACGTCCACCAAATAGGCCCTCCACCAAAAGTAAAGACATACCCAGTGGTAGATCTCCTATTATCCAAGTCCCCAGCATAATCAGAATCCACATATCCTACAACCAAAGGATCCAACCGCTGATCTCCAAACACAATACCATGTCCCGCAGTACCTTTCAAATATCTGAAAATCCATTTGACTGCCTCCCAATGCTGTTTACCCGGCCTAGACATATACTTGCAAACTTGACCAACAGCATGAGCTAAATCAGGACGAGTACATACCATGGCATTCATCAGACATCCAACAGCACTGGCATAAGGTATCTCCACCATATCCTGAGTCTCCTTGTCCGACTTGGGACACTAATCAACAGAAAGCTTGAAGTGGTTTGCTAATGGAGTGCTCACCGGTTTTGCTTCATTCATCCCAAACCTCTGTAGCACCTTCTCCACATAACCCTTCTGAGATAACCACAGCTTCTTTGATCCTCTATCCCTGTGAATCTCCATCCCAAGAATCTTCTTCGCAGCCCCCAAATCCTTCATCTCAAATTCCTGACTCAAAAGGCTTTTCAGATCAATAATATCTCGCATATTCTTGGCAGCAATAAGCATGTCATCAACATAAAGTAGCAGAAAAATCATAGAACCATCACCAAGGCTCTTAGTGTAAACACAGCAATCAAAATCACAACGCTTGTAGCCAATCTTCACCATATACGAATCAAATCGTATATTCCACTGTCGCGATGCTTGCTTCAAGCCATACAAGGATTTCTTCAACCTGCAGTATAAATGCTTCTTCCCTGGTTGAACGAAGCCCTCTGGCTGCTGCATGTAAATAGGCTCTGCGAGATCACCATGCAAGAAAGCAGTCTTCACATCCATCTGCTCCAAATGCAAATCCCAACTAGCCACCAATGCAAGTACAGCCCTGATCGAAGTATGTCTAACCACAGGGGAAAATGTCTCATCATAGTCAATCCCTTTTTGCTGTGAGTATCCTTTAGCCACCAATCGAGCCTTGAACGGTTGAACCTTTCCCCTCCTTTTTCTGTTACCGATGACTTCCTTGTGTAAATCCACCTACAACCAATAGCTCTCTTCCCTTCGGGAAGAACATCCAACTTCCATGTCTGATTCTTGTGTACAGAATTCATCTCTTCTTCCATGGCAGCCTTCCATCTATCATTATTCTCACAAGAAACAGCCTCCTGGAAAGTACAAGGATCCACACTAGTGATCGTAAGAGCAAATGCAACCATATCCTCATAACCAAACCTGACCGGAGCTTGTATATTGGTACGCCTCACTCTATCCCGAGCTAACTTGTAGCTCTCTGGCACATCAGTTGGGCCAGAAACATCATGATCAACATCATCAGGTGCAGAACTCGAACTCTCTCCCTTATCAAGAACTGCTGGAACATGTTCCAACTCCACCTGTACTTTATCTGCATCTGATCCCAACATAAACTGTTCATCAAACACTGCATCTCTACTAATCGCCGTCTTCTTATCAACTGTATCCCAAAACTTGTATCCCTTCACACCTCTCTTATAGCCCAGAAAAGTGCACTTCTTTGATTTAGCATCAAGTTTTGACCTCTCATCAGCAGGAATATGAACATAAGCAGGACAGCCAAAAATCTTCATTTGATCAAAACTAACATCATTACCTATCCATACTTCTTCTGCAACTTTGCCATCCTGAGATGCACGTGGTGATCTGTTAATTAAATAACAAGCCATACTTACAGCCTCAGCCCAGAAACTCTTTGGCAAACCCGCATTCAGTCTTAAACACCTCGCCCTCTCAGCCAGTGTCCGATTCATCCTCTCAGAAACACCATTCTGCTGTGGTGTTTTACGCACTGTAAAATGCCTTTGAATCCCATGCTCCTCACAAAACTTCTGGAACTGTGAATAGGTGTACTCTGTACCATTATCAGACCTTAAGTACTTGATTTTTCTACCAGTCTGGTTCTCCACCTCAGCCTTCCATAGCTTGAATTTAGCAAAAACTTCAGATTTATGCTTCATGAAATACACCCAAACTTTCTTCGAAAAATCATCAATAAAGGTCACATAGTACAAAGAACCACCAATCGATGTCACTCTAGTAGGACCCCACACATCTGAATGTACATAATCCAGAATTCCTTTTGTCTTCTTCTTCCCAGTCTTGAAACTGACTTTTGTCTGCTTTCCAGAATACAAAACTTGCAGAAATTGAGTTTGCAAGTTTTAACACCATGCAGAAGCCCCCTCTTATGCAGCTCAGTCATGCCATGTTCACTAAGATGTCCAAGACGCATGTGCCACAATTTCGTGCTATCTTCACACGACTCCACCGAATGGACTACACCTACAACTGTACTTCCCAACAGTTTGTAAATGTTCCCTGCAGTGATCCTCCCCTTCATCACAGTCAAGGCACCCTTCACAATCTTAAAGGTTTCCCTATCCTCATCAGCCTTGGGAATGAAACCATTTCTATGCAAAGTACCCAAAGAAATCAAATTCTTCTTCAACTCAGGGATATGTCTCACATCATACAATGTCCTAACAGGTCCATCATACATCTTGATTTTGACATCCCCAATACCGACAATACTGCAGCATCTATCATCATCAAGAAAAACCGAACCCGAGTTGCCTGATTTATAAGTAGCAAACCACTCTCTGTTAGGCGTTATATGATATGAACATCCAGAATCGAGAATCCAAGCATCATCATACTGCGCAGTCGAAATAGATAACATATCTCCATCACTGCAATCAGATGCATCATTCTGTACCACATTCGCAGACTTGGATGACATATCAGCAGTCTGTTTCTTCCACTTTGGGCAATCCCGTTTAAAGTGCCCTTGTTCCTTGCATTTATAACATGTCA